GGTCTGTGCTCTATGGGGCAGGTCGCTATGGGTCTCCACGCTATGGGGCAGCCCCACAACCCCTCTCCATGCCCCCCAAGCACCACAGACCTTTGGTGTCTCACCATGAGATGATGCTCCATGGGTCCATGAGTCTGCCATTCCATGGGTCCCTACCCCACGGAGCTTCACGCTATGGGTCAGGCCGCTATGGGGCAGGTCGCTATGGGTCTGTACTCTATGGGGCAGCCCCCCAACCCCTCTCCATGCCCCCCAAGCACCACAGCCTTTTGGTCTTTCCCCATGAGATGATGCTCCATGGTGTCCACACTCCACGACTCTGCCGTTCCACGGGCTCCTACCCCACAGAGCTTCACGCTATGGGTCAGGCCAGTAGCCACATGGGGAAATCGGTAGCCCCCGGTGTTGGTAGCCCCCCCTGAGCCCCCGTTTGCCCCCCCAGGCCCCTTCGAGGGCCCCAACTACCACATCGCGCCGCGGTGGGTGTACAACCTGACCTCGCTGTGGATGATCTTCGTGGTGGTGGCCTCGGTGTTCACCAACGGGCTGGTCCTGGTGGCCACCGCCCGCTTCAAGAAGCTGCGGCACCCGCTCAACTGGATCCTGGTGAACCTGGCGGTGGCCGACCTGGGCGAGACCCTCATCGCCAGCACCATCAGCGTCATCAACCAGATCTCGGGCTACTTCATCCTCGGCCACCCCCTCTGCGTCATCGAGGGCTACACCGTCTCCGCCTGCGGTGGGTCCTATGGGGCAGGATGTGTGGGGCAGGGGGTGGGGAGATGTGGGGCAGGGATGGGGAAGGGGTGGAAGATGTTGGGTGGGTCTGAGGGATATGGACAAGGGGTGGGAGATGTGGGGCAGGGGCAGGACCACCCCCTCTGCGTCATCGAGGGCTACACCGTCTCCGCAGGATGTGGACAAGGGATGTGGGGCAGGGATGGAGGTTGTGGACAAGGGATGGGAGATGTGGAGCAGGGGTCCCTACCCCCCAGAGCTTCACGCTATGGGTCAGGCCGCTATGGGGCAGGTCGCTATGGGTCTGTACTCTATGGGGCAGGTCGCTATGGGTCTGCACGCTATGGGGCAGCCCCCCAACCCCTCTCCATGCCCCCCAAGCACCACAGCCTTTGGTGTCTCACCACGAGATGATGCTCCATGGTGTCCACACTCAATGTCTCTGCCATTCCATGGGTCCCCACCCCACAGAGCTTCACGCTATGGGTCAGGCCGCTATGGGGCAGCCCCCCCTGACCCCCAAGTCTCCTCCCCACAGGCATCACGGCCCTCTGGTCCCTGGCCATGGGTCCAGACTCCATGGGTGTGTTCTCCATGGGTCTCCATGGGTTCGTACTCCATGGAGCTTCACACTATGGGTCTGTACTCTATGGGGCAGGTCGCTATGGGTCTGTACTCTATGGGGCAGCCCCCCAACCTCTCTCCATGCCCCCCAACCACCACAGCCTTTGGTGTTTCCCCATGAGATGGTGCTCCATGGGTCCATGTCTCTGCCGTTCCACGGGTCCCTACCCCATGGAGCTTCTCGCTATGGGTCAGGCCGCTATGGGGCAGGTCGCTATGGGGCAGCCCCCCCTGACCCCCAAGTGTCCTCCCCACAGGCATCACGGCCCTCTGGTCCCTGGCCATGGGTCCAGACTCCATGGGTGTGTTCTCCATGGGTCTCCATGGGTTCGTACTCCATGGAGCTTCACGCTATGGGTCTGTACTCTATGGGGCAGGCTGCTATGGGTCTGTACTCTATGGGGCAGGTCGCTATGGGTCTCCACGCTATGGGGCAGCCCCACAACCCCTCTCCATGCCCCCCAAGCACCACAGACCTTTGGTGTCTCACCATGAGATGATGCTCCATGGGTCCATGAGTCTACCATTCCATGGGTCCCTACCCCACGGAGCTTCACGCTATGGGTCAGGCCGCTATGGGGCAGGTCGCTATGGGTCTGTACTCTATGGGGCAGCCCCCCAACCCCTCTCCATGCCCCCCAAGCACCACAGCCTTTTGGTCTTTCCCCATGAGATGATGCTCCATGGTGTCCACACTCCACGACTCTGCCGTTCCACGGGCTCCTACCCCACAGAGCTTCACGCTATGGGTCAGGCCGCTATGGGGCAGCCCCCCCTGACCCCCAAGTCTCCTCCCCCCAGGCATCACGGCCCTCTGGTCCCTGGCCATCATCTCCTGGGAGCGTTGGTTCGTGGTCTGCAAACCCTTCGGCAACATCAAGTTCGACGGGAAGCTGGCGGTGGCCGGGATCCTCTTCTCCTGGATCTGGTCCTGCGCCTGGACAGCGCCCCCCATCTTCGGCTGGAGCAGGTGGGGCCGGCCCCACAACTTATGGGGCAGGGACGACCACCCCTCTAGGACCTCTCCTCCTCACCCCCCAACCTCCCTGCCCCACAGGTATTGGCCCCACGGCTTGAAGACCTCCTGCGGCCCCGACGTCTTCAGCGGCAGCTCGGACCCGGGGGTCCAGTCCTACATGGTGGTGCTGATGGTCACCTGCTGCTTCTTCCCCTTGGCCATCATCATCCTCTGCTACCTCCAAGTCTGGCTGGCCATCCGCGCCGTGAGTCTGCCCCACACCTCGCCCCATAGCGCCCCACATCACCCCACAGCGCCCCACATCACCCCACGGCTCCCAAGGAGAAGGATCCCACCTTCTCCTAGAACTTCTCCATCCATGGAGAGACCTTCTGCCCCACACAGAGGTTCCTATGGGGCTGCTCTGCCCCACACGGAGCTCCCCATAGGGCTCCTCTGCCCCACACATTGCCCCACAGCTCGCCCCACATCACCCCATGGCTCCCAAGAGAAGGAATCCCACCTTCTCCCAGAGCTTCTCCATCCATGGAGAGACCTTCTGATCCATGTGGACATCCTATGGGGCTGCTCTGCCCCACACAGAGCTTCCCATAGGGCTCCTCTACCCCACACCTCGCCCCATAGCACCCCACAGTGCCCCACATCACCCCACGGCTCCCGAGGAGAGCCAATCCCACCTTCTCCCAGAGCTTCTCCATCCATAGAGAGACCTTCTGCTCCACGTGGAGGTCCTTATGGGGCTGCTCTGCCCCACAGAGACCTTCTGCCCCACAGGGAGCTGCCCATAGGGCTCCTCTGCCCCACACCTCGCCCCATAGCGCCCCACATCGCCCCACATCACCCCACAGCTCCCAAGGAGAGCCAATCCCACCTTCTCCCAGAGCTTCTCCATCCATGGAGAGACCTTCTGCTCCACACGGAGGTCCCTATGGGGCTGCTCTGCCCCACAGAGACCTTCTGCCCCACAGGGAGCTCCCCACGGGGCTCCTCTGCCCCATATAGAACCCCTGGAGACCATCTCCCCACCATAGAGCTCCCCAGAGGGCTCCTCCTCTGCCCCACAGAGACCTTCTGCCCCACACGGAGCTCCCCATAGAACACCATGGGGCTCCTCTGCCCCACATCGACCCCCCCAGGGAGCCCACCTCCCCCATAGCCCCCCCTAG